AAAAAAAAATGTAATACTGTATAATGACTCAACTTCAAATGACTGAGCACATTTCTTGGGTAGTATGCTATGCAGCAAAGGGAATCAAAGAATTGTCCATCTTCTTTTTATGCTAAAACACATTATATATACGTTTAGTCAGTTTTTATGCTAAAACACACTATAATGACTCAATTTTGTTTCATAGTTCTTAACAATCTTAATATTTATTTCCCTGGACCACATTTTGTTCAGGTTTCTACGTTTAGTCAGGAGAGAAAACATTCTTCAATTGTCTCTCCAGAATGTCTTAGTTTCAGAAGGTCCAGGTCAGGTAACTTTGTGATCCTAAAATTATTTGATATCAATTTTATTCTTAGTTTCTTACTAGTCTTTGTTATTTGATTATATTGGTTTACTATGTATGTCTTTGCCACTCTGCTTAATGTAGTTGGATATTTTGCAGGACGTCTACTTGTACCTACTCTAGAATTTTGGCACAATGAGCAAGTTGTCTATGATGCGGTTTGTATTTTCTTTGATTGCCATCTTGATATGTAAACAATCAGAGATGTTATTCTATCAGCTTTAATGAATTTGCATGTTAGAAGTTGTAAAGCTGCTGTAGTAAACTTGTATCCATAAATGGAAAATCCAAATATGTGTCTATCTATAGGGCCTTACATTGGGAATTATTTAAGCTTACAGTCATCAAAGTTGTAAATTTCTTGATAATAACAAGAAAATTTTCATTAAAATAAAAAAAGGATAATACAATCAACCCTCCAGAAAGACCCACTGAGTTCAACTCCAATCTGAAATTGTCATTAACCCTCCATAAAAAAGGATACAATAAACTTGTATCCCATAAGTTAGATCCTATCTGAAATTGTCATTAATTCTCCAGAAAGACCCACTGAGTTCAACTCCAACCATTCCCCACAACTTGAACCCCAAATTTCATACCTGACTCTCATATTGAAGCCTTCCAGCTTTGTCTCCTGGAGCATCACCACCTCTGGCATATATCTTCTTATCTGATGTCTGACCATCACCCTTCTCCAATCTTCCCTTAGTCCCTGAATATTCCAGGACAGGATTTTCATCTTCCCCAACCCCTCTTCCAGTCCACACACCTCCCTTTCAGTCTTCCCCTTCAAAAGCTTCCTCCTGAATCTCTCCTTTGTCCCAAACTTCACCCCCTTCCACCAACTTTTTCTGATCTCTCTTCTCTTCTTCTCAAATTGTTCAAATGCCTTTCTTACAAACCCCTCCCCTCCCCAGAAGAATAGTCCTTGTGTTCTTCCCACCACCACCTCCCTTTCTACTACTCTGTTAATGTCCACTCTTCTCTCACCAGCTATCCCTTCATCCGAAATTGAAATCTTCCCACCCTCTTCCTTCTCAGTCCCTTCTTCTCCTGCCACCACATTGTAAAGTTCTTATGGTTGAGTTTTAGTAGTCCAAGGAGCAGTTTTCCAAGATGCATGATTTTATTTTTATAAAAACAAAGCAACTGCCACATCAATGAAACAAGTGTTTTTCTGATGTGGTAGTTGTTTTCTTTAAAAAAGAAATCATGTATTGTAGTGATCAGCACCCAAATCTTCAGTTTTTAAAGTTAGGCGTCTATCTTCTCAATGCCTAAACTTGAGATATCTAATGCAATATAGAAGAGTAAAGAAACATGGACAAGGAGGGAGGAGTAAGAGAGAAAGGAAAACTAGATTGTACACAAACAAAAGGGTAGTCAGTTCATCCAATATATTTTATAAATCAAGAAGTTAAATTACCATTCTGCCCTTGGATATGTGTACATTAGACATTCAGCATTCCCCCTTAAGCTGAGCATAGATATTGAGTATACTCAATTTGCACATACTCTTAGTGAATTTGGATTTAGTGAAACCATAAATGTAAATACCAACTAACTAATTTTCTGATTTGGCAAAGTGTAAGAAAAAATCTTTTGCAGTGTCTTTCTCTAATAAAATGTCAATTATCCTTGGTATGCTTGGACCAATCATGTTGAACAGGGTTATGAGCAAATATTCATAGTTGTTTGGTTGTCATAATACCATTTGAAAGGACTATCAAAATTGATGTCTAAATTACTTAATTAGGAATTGCAATGGCGTGGGGACCATACTCCCCATTCCCGATCCCAATCCTTGATGGAGACGGGGTTCCTCATCAGGGACCCCAGTCCCTAAAGTTTTTAATTATTTTTTTATTAAAATAAAAAAAGTTAAAAATATAAATGATATTTTAAATATATTTTGAAATATAATATAAATAATATTATGTATATATATAATTGGGGTTGGGGTGGGCGGGGACTTCACCCCCATCCCAATCTCCATCCCTGACCCGATTGGGTTGGCGAAGCTGAGAACCCCCAGTGGGGCTGGGGATGAGGAAAATTGCCATCCCTACATTCAATAGAATCTCTAGCCATTAGCAACTCATATACACCATGCGCCATTTTTTGGCATTCAACTTCGCCACTTGATTGAGCTACCATAGATTGCTTTTTGCTTCTCCATCATATTAGATTACATACAACTAATGCACAATACCCTTTTGTGGAATGTTTGTCATATACAAAACCAGCCGATTGAATATCTATCTGCATCTTAATGCTAGAATGTCCATAGTTAAAGGGAAATTACCCAATAATGGTCTTGAGTCTTGACAATCCATGATCTTGGGAAGGGTAGGCCAGATATGAACCCTTGGGATTTTTTTTTTCCACACCTGCTCTTAGAACCTAAAATGTCCATGAATGGCATATATTCCTTTTCCCTAGTGGACTTTCGAACAAGTGCCTGTTTGGGAGGGCTTGTGGGACACGGATTTTGGCATACAAGCTGGGCCCCACACGAGAATGCCAGAAGCTGTGTTTGGTGAAAATCCTGAAAGCCCACCACTGATCCGGGCGTGCCAAATGCAACTAAAATAGGAATCTACTCCAGGTAGCTTCCCCGTAACACGGGTGCTCAATCACCATGGCTGAATCAATGCACCTCACCTCCAACACAGAAGTCCTCCCAAACGGGTTCTAAGATAATATCTGTGTAGCTGCTTCTGTATGTGGAATGTGTAGCTTATGCATATAATAGCTGACCAAATCACATTCATCAAAAAAAAAAAAATCTGACCAAATCAAACACATATACAAGTCCTGAAGAAGTTCTTTACTACATGAGAAATATCTAAGCTAGACACAAATACAACAGTCTCCCAATCAGTCTTTGATACTTGCCTTGGCCCTCAGGAAGTTCTCCTTGATCAGCAGTTGGTCAATGATCAGGATCAATTGGGGGGATATCTACTGGTTTTAACACCTCAGTTTTCCAATATCCATTTAAGATCTTGGACATACTTGCACTGGGATAAAAATGCCGTTGAATCGCTACTTCAATGCCTAAAAGTTTTCTAAATTCTCAGGATATTTGATCTCAAAGTCAGCACTATAAAGATTTCTTCAAATTGTCAACTTCAATAGAAATGATACTTGAACTAGCAATATGATCAACATAGACAATCTAAGCAAAGAAGTTACCAAACTTTACCATTGTTTAATGTAAACAAAATCCTATTAATTTGTTTAATGAGAATTATTTTTATCCTGGCACATGACACACAACCTTGCCCATGTACCATTTCTAGTATTTCATTTATGAATTGTAACCGCTGCCTTTTTATATGACCCTTTTCCTTTGAGAATGACCTTTTTCCCTCAAAGGAAGATACTTTTTATGTGATTGATTCTCTAATTGTTGATTGTTCCTGATCATCATATATACCTGCATGGATCATGTAATCTTGCTTCTTCATCATTCTGCTTGTTTCTCTTGTACCAGCAATTGAACCTGATGACAAGTGGCACTTGTATATACCTTCAGGGTCCATTTTGACATATCCAAAAAGATAGGCAACACTTTCCTTTATCCATGCTCTGGGTTTCCCAGTTTTTAACAGTGCTCACTTAGAATGCTAGAAATATTCCATTGACCTGATGGCAATGAGGTAAGATCTTTTTCTTTTTCTGGGGGGGAGGGGGTGCTTGGTGGAGCAGTGGGAGGTGGAGAATAGGGGCTTTTTTGGTTAAGTAGGGTAGAGGCTTTTTCTCTACCAATTTGCTGATTAGTAATGCCAGTCGATCTACTTTTAAAGAGATTATTAATTTGTTTCTTAGATGTTTCCTCCATTTAAATGAGTTTTTGATGTTACAAATAGAAGGGACAAATTTAAACACGTCAAATTGACAACAGTTTAAATCATAGCTTAGTACTGTGAGTTATGGGGATTTATTTATTGAACAAGTCATCAGCCATAATCTCCAAAATTCATAAATTTGGAAGAATTTGTGTCTTAAATTATGTCTGTTTCTAGTTTTTGTGCATCGAATAGTGATTTAAATTCAGACAATATAAGTGCATCTGTCTTCCTGTTATCTCTCCTCTGACATAATTTTTTCTTTGCAGGATGGTCAGATCACTGGAATCCAGAAGGGTCTCCCTACTATAGAAACTTCTGCAGGTTTATTTTGTTCTAGCTAATGTTTTTTTGCATAAAAGTTGGTAACTCTGCTTAAGTATATATATCTACAGCAAAGTTTTGTTAGGCCCTAGATGTCAATACAATTTCATACTGTTACTTTCCCTTTGTAATATGTCAAATTCTTTGTAGATTAATACCATACACTATCTTTAGGTTACTTAAATTAAAAATTGTTTAAGAGGCCATTACTTTGTGCAATTGTAAAATCTGAGGCTTACAAGATTGAACGGGTCTGAGCCTGAGAATGGCCACTTTGTGCAAAATAAGAAGCCAAAGGTTAGTTCTGTATCCAGTCTACCTCTCCCATGACCCTGGATAGCCAGAATCATCATTGGCTAATGGCCCTTAAAATTAAAAGGAAAATGGTGTTCTGTGCTTTTACATTGGTTGTAGTTATCAGGGCATCAATTACTACAATATGCTAGTACTAATGATAGAAGGGCAATATCATGGCATCTTGTTGGCAGGAAGTAGATCTCATACCCAGGAAAAGAAAAAGAAACGCGTATGAGTACACTTCACTATTTATTAGAATCAGCTTTGACAAAAAAGGTAGGAAGTATTCCAATTTATATGGAATTAGAAGTTACTGACACAGATTAAAAAAATAGATCTCCTTGTATCCCTAATGACATAATTTTGACTATGCAGAGGGAAGCAACATACTAAATGGGATGGGACAGACAGGCTACACTGGCTTAGTAGGGGGCTCACTCAACTATGCAGAGGCAACAGAATTATAGATGATCCAGTTAGACCAGCTTTGTAGAGGCTTCACCCAGTTCTCAACTGGCCAATTTCATGGTTTTGGACCCATAACCTCTAGGTAGGAAAGTGCTTCTGAAACTTGGCTTTTGTGACAAATGAATTGGATGGATCAAGGAATATTTTTCTACAACATCCTTTCAAATCCTTTGTTAATGGGTTTGCTTCTGTAATCTGCCTAGAAATAGACCTTATATTCAAGAGAAACATTAAACAAATAGGAGAAGAGAAGAGTGAAAGAAAGAAAGAAGAAAGGAAGAAAAGATTAGGGCTACAAGCTGTAGGAGATATGTTCATACATTCCTATCTACTGCCCAACTTTAATTAATAATATAGAGACATGGAATTACAACTTTGCCCCTGCTTAAACAATATATAAATAAGTAATGACTTCTATATCTTGCCGCCCATATATTACTCTTAACACTCCCCCTCAAGCTGGTGCGTAAATGCCATAGAGCTCCAGTTTGCTACAGATGTACTCCATCCCCATAGACAACTCAAACCTTTAATGAAGAGATCAGCCAACTATTCCTCGAACTTTACATAAGGGATAACAATATCTCCACCTGTTACTTTCTCTCTCACAAAGTGACAGTCCACCTTTATGTGCTTAGTTCTTTCATGAAACACTAGATTAGAGACTATGTAGATTGCCGCTTGGTTGTCACAAAATAACTTTATGAGCTTAGGAATAACCACTCCAATCTCCTAAAGCAAAATTTTCAGTACAAAGCAAGTCATAAGTAGCATGTGCCTATAATCCAATACTCTACTTCAACACGGCTTCTAACAACTACACTCTGCTTTTTAGTCTTCCAAGAAAGAATATTTCTTCCAAGGAAAGTGCAATAACCCATTATAGACTTACTATCAGTCGTGGACCATACCCAATCTGCATTTGAATTCCTTCTAATGATAATTCTCCCCCTTTCTTGTATAAGAACCTTCACTCACCCTAATAACACATTCCTAGTGATTAGACTTGAGATTTCACATGAATTGGCTTAACACCCCACATTAAAGTGTATATCTGGCTTGGTAATGGTGAGATAAATCGGTTTACCTACTAGTCTCTTGTATCTCCTGGGAACTTCCAATGGCTCCCCCTCACTGTCAGTTATCTTCACATTAGGGTCTATAGGAGTTTTAACTGGCTTAACTACTAGTAACTTCTGGTTATACAGCAAACCAAAAAAAAAAAACTTCTGGCTATACAGATGGCTTCAGTTAAATTCAATGTTACCAATTATATTTCGTGGGTAAGACATAGTTGTCAAGGAGTCTAGGCAACATTGGGGGTAACTAGTCGCCTAGTTGCCTAGGTGGGCACCTAGGAGAATTTTATAACATAAATACTTACTTTTGGCTAGTTCCCTAGTTTTATATACCATTCAGCATGCATATTTATTGAAATAATATCAATTCTCTTTATTAAAAGCATTAAATATCCTCTAAGAATGTACAAATCATCAAATCTAAAAAAAATCTTTTAAATGATATTAATTTCATTATATTTCAAAATAATACTACTATGATAAGTATTTAATAGAGCAATTTCATATCAATTAGCAACTAAAGAAGGTTATTAACTATATATGATAAAAAATCAAGATGGAAAGTAAAATAGAAAAAAAAAATTGGATGCAATTGCTGTTTTATTTAATTGAAGAGAGAAAGAGAGAAGAAGAAGAAGAAGAAGAAGATGGAAAGTGGGTCTGATTGTTATAATGATTGGGTGGTGCAAGAGAATGCACATGTTATATCCTGGTTCTAATACTATGGAATCTGCCTAAAACAGACCTTAGATTCAAAGAAAAGCAATAAACAACCCGGAAACCACAATAGAAGAGAAAAAGAGGAAAAGAAAGAAATAAGAGAGGAAGATAAGAATAGGGTTACAACTTACAAGCCATGTGTATTTACAACTTTGCCCCTTCTTAAAAAGTATAAAGATAAGTAATGACTTCTATATCCTGCTGCCGATATATTACCATTAACAATTTTGAAGGTCATTCTCTTTTCAGGGAATTAAGCAAGGGAATCCTGCTTCCCTTTACCTGTTTATACTATGTATGAGGCTTTTGCTGGTGAACTAGAAATTTGATCTAAAATTCTCAGGAATGGAGTTCTCTAAAATTCTAGGAATGGAGTTCTCTTCAAACGCCTCTGACTTAGTCATCACTCCATCCTACAAGCACCAAACAGTTCCTCCCCCTCTAAGGGTTGAGTCTCGATGCCCCCTTTCTCATCAAGCTTCTTCTTTAAGCCTCTGATCCTAGGCCATCTTTCCTGTAAACTTTCTTAAACTTGTTTGTAGGACCAGCGCCAATCAAACCATCCTTTGGTCTTGAAAAAAATTTTGAAACGTGAACAATTTGGAACTTACCTGAATCTCTGCCCTTCTTCTCCAACGCCAAACCCTCTTCATCCCCGTCCTTGTTCACCCGTCTCTTCCGACCTAAATCCATTTTGTTAGAATCAACTAAAAGGGGGTATTTTGGTCTTTTCCCCCAAGTAAAGTGCTAGTTGTATGTCTCCTCATATGTAGGGGCACTTTCGTCCTTGTAATTTTATGTTTTGTAATGTTTTAAACTTGGTCGACTAGGTTAGACGATTGGTCTTCTTAGTTTGACACTGTTCATCTTCTTCTTCTTCTCTTCTTCCTTCCTCTTTTCTCAGTTTGGCTGAACAACACAAACATGGTATCAGAGTGCCATTGACAGCAGTGATTACAGCTTCCCCAACTAATATTTCTCAGTTCTTCTTTTCTTTCGTTTTTTCTCTGGTGCGAGAAATTTGGGGTAGAAGACTGCAACACGACCCAAATTCCTGCGGCAACCTCTAGGGTTTCAGAGGTTTGACTTCTGGTGACAGGGGAAAGAGAACAACAGTCGAGTGATAAGAAAAAAAGATTTTTTTTATGTAGACTGCTGTCACCATGGGTGTGACAGCTGTGGTGGTCAAGTAGGTGCAGTCGTGGTAATCTGAACCCTCTAATGAGCAGTTTCAAGAGGGATTCTTTGTGGTTTTAAATCTGCATGTTAGCAGTATAGTGGTGGTTGAAGTGGCCGAATGTATGCCAAGGCCAATACTTGGTGATTTCAAGTGTGCTAGTGTGGTAGCTAACGAACTATAGTGCAGTGGTTGGAACTGTTTTTTTTTGTGTGACGGTCTGAACTGACTTTGTAGACTGAAATGGCTTCGATGGGAGATGCGAGTGGTGACCAGAAATCGAGTGTCATGATTTCCTCTAATTTTTTAAATGTCCAGATGACCTCCATCAAACTTAATGGTGAAAACTATGTTCCGTGGGCCAAGTCAGTGGAGGTGTTTCTGAAGGCTAAGAAAAAAGTGAAACATGTATGGGAGGAGAAGCCTAGTGTTGAATCCCCGGGTTTTAGTGATTGGGATCAAGAGGATGATCAAATTATGACGTGGTTGTGGAACAGTATGGAGCCTAGAATCAGTGTTAATTTCATGTTCTTAGATACAACAAAGGATGTATGGGAACATGCCAAGAAACTCTACTCTGGACAAGACAACACCACAAGGGTTTATCAACTTTATTAGGAATACTTCAGTTTGCAGCAGGGAAACCAGACTCTTGAAGAATATTACGCCAGTGTGAAGAATCTTCGGAATGAACTTAATGTCTACCATCCCTTAACACCAGACGTTAAGATTCAACAGCAACAAAGGGAACAACTAGATGTTACTCAGTTCTTGGTGGGACTAAAAGCAGAATATGAACCGGTCAGAGCACAGAGATTGGGAGGATCTGCTCTCCCTACTCTAGAAGAGGTGTTTGCCCGTCTCCGTAGGATATCTCTTACCCCCACAGAGTGTAACATACCTTCCGATAGATCAGCACTTGTTGGCACTCAAGGTGGTTCTTATGGACACAGAGGAGGTGGTCGTACAGTTAAGGGAGATCGTTGTATCCCTATGGGTGGTCGTGGTGGTGGAGGTTGGGATTTAGGGGGAGGCCGTGGCAGAGGAAGGGGGAGCACTACTAGAAAATGCACACATTGTGGGAGAGAAGGATAGTTAACTTCTGCTATGATTTGCATGGCCCACCATCCACATGGGCTAATCATGCAATTGTTGGTGTAGTGAAGTCAGTGATATTCAACCAGTTGATCCAGCATCCTCTACAGTCACAACTACTTCTGGGAAGGAGATGATGAGTATTCCAAGAGAGGAGTATGAGAGATTTCTTTAGGCCACCTCACATCAGAATACTGCCACTCTTGCTCATTCAGGTATAGCTTGCCTAGCATCCAAACCTTCACCCTAGATAATTAACTCTGGAGCCTTTGATCACATGACCAGGACTCCAGGTGTGTTTTCCTCCCTTTCTCCAACTTCTACATCGAATAGTGTGAACCTTGCTAATGGATCTACTTCCCCCATCTATGGTGTTGGTACTGTTAACACAGTGTCTCTTTCTTTAACTTTTGTTTTATATGTTCTCAAGTTTCCTTTCAATCTTATGTCTGTTAGTAAACTAACCAAATCCCTCAATTGTTCCATCACATTTTGCCCTTCCTCTTGTGTTTTTCAAGATCTAACGACGGGGAAGAAGATTGGTGGAGGGCATGAAGCTGGCGAATTGTATTATCTTGACGGTGGTGGATCTACGGTTGCACTTCAAACCTCTTTGACTCCTCTTCAGTGGCATTGTAGACTCGACCATTCATCTCTTAAAGCTCTCAAGCTTCTTGTTCCGTCATTGAATCGTCTGTCATATTTACAGTGTAAGTCGTGTCAGTATGGGAAACACCATCGGGTTTCCTTTAGTCCTAGACTTGATAGTCATATGTTGAGTCCTTTTGATTTAGTTCATTCAGATGTGTGGGGTCCAATCAGAATTGAGTATTATAATGGTTACAAATGTTTTGTTATCTTTGTTGATGACTGTTCAAGAATGACATGGCTGTATTTGATGAAAGAAAGAAGTGAATTATTTTCCATTTTCCAAAAATTTCATGCTGAACTGCGTATACAATTTGGTGTTTCACTTAAAATTCTTCGATTTGACAATGGCAGAGAGTATTTTCTTTCTTTCTTCCAGCAATACTTGGAACAACATGGTATTATTCATCAAACATCTTGTGCTCACACCCCTCAGCAAAATGGGGTGGCTGAGAGGAAGAACCGGCATCTACTTGAAACAGCTTGGTCTCTCCTTCATCATATGAATGTTCCTAAACGTTTCTGGAGTGATGCAGTCCTGACTGCTTGTTTTCTCATTAATTGCATGCCCTCATTTATATTGAATGGTCATTCTCCGTTCTCTTTCTTATTTCCCACTCTGTCTCCATATCCTCTTACTCCCAGGATCTTCGGGTG